CAACGTTCGGGGAAGTCTGCAGTTTGCGATCATATCCTAGATGGCCTCAACCATTACATCAGATTTGATAGACCACAAATCCTCGCGAAAAAACATCGATTCCTACCAAGGATGATACGCGAGGCTATTGAAATTAAAAAACATCCTAATTTCAATAGAGAAGGAGGCTGGGTACTACCAACTGCTTGGGATCCTATAATTAATAAAATTAAAACTAAACCCAAGCATACCACTGCAAGACTTCAAACACAGTTAGTTCATTCTGCGTAGATCGGACCAAAGACAACAATTAAAAAGCTAAAGGTACTCTGGGTCAGTCACATCAGTCCTCCGTGACCATGTGTGCTAGAAAGCACCCGAAACGTCTGGTATTAAAAATAAAACAAAATAAAACGCGATAAAATCCGTAAAAGTAGTTTTAATCAATAATTAAAATCTAAATAGAAATATAATTAAAAAAATATTAAAATGAAACTTAAAGTTAAGATTCTTCGTCTTTATCATGGAGGTTATAGAACAGGAGAACGATCACCGTAGAAAATAGTGTACCAGAAATATGGACACCGTAAGTGTGGCGCTGGGATCGCTAAGTTCGGTGAATAAAAGTAATTTTCAGTCTATTTTTCCGATCAGATGCTAAATCACTTGCACATCCACGCACAATAAAATATTTCTCCATTTTTTAATGTTCCTTTTTGTCAAAAATTGCAAAATTACGGAGCATGAAAATTTTCTCACCAATGCCGCGGAGAAAATTTGTACACTATTTAACTATAGACGATAAAAGATAGCTTGATCTCTACGACATATGTCAAACTGACATTCCTAGGGTTGTCAGGATATAAAAAATTGTCGATAGAAATTAACGACGTTTCTTATTATTATCGATGCTAATGTAACATAAATAATAATTGGGTTTAATTTAATTACAAACGTTACTAAATTAAACGAATATTTTTAATACAAAATGCATTTATTCTCTTATAGGAGTACACCCCAAATCCATATTTGAATCAATTTCTGAATCGCTAGAACAATCTTGAAAATTTATTATAAACTCTTGTTCGCAAATATTATCAAATCGGACGTCCCGCTCCCAATCTTCTTCCATTAGTTTTCTGCATTTGGTTACCACCTTCAGTAGTTTTATTTGATTTGAATGCCAATAGGCAATTAGGCACAAAACCAGATGACGTCCCAGCATGAGTGATGATTAATCTTTGACCTTTGCCTTCGGGTACTTTGGTGGTTGATTGTGCAGTATCATCGGTCCAAGCTTTGGATAAGGCATGATTGGCGTTTAGCTATGTCTCGTCTAGAAACACTACTTTGTCCCAATTTGTAATTTTTTTGACTTTTCGAGAAAATTCACCCGAGCAAGAGCAATGTCGGTTCTTTCCATAATAATTTTTCTTTTGTCACTTTTTTATAGGAAAATCCAATATTTTTCAATATCTTCGTTAGAGATGGCAAGCTTCCTTTGAACAAGTCTGCGTCTTTGATGCTGCAAGTTTTTTGTCCTCGTCTTCAGTCAATGCTGCGGTTGAAGATTCGCCATACTTTTCTTTGCTGATGCGAATTACTGTCGCATGTCCAATGCCAAGAGCATCTGCAACTCTATCACATACGTTCTCCATGTGTAATAGCAGCCCGCCATTTTGGTTCTCTCGCTCAAAATATTCACGTAAGCGAATCACAAACTCACGACTTTGACTGTTCAAAACGGTTTTCTTCGTTCTCTTTGGCATTATGCAAACAAGAAACTAACAATAATAACAAAAGATAACAGAACTCAACAAATTAACAAGCAATAACAGCAATAGTAACAAAAACACAACAAACAAGGCGTCGGCACTCCTACTGAAGAGAATGGAGGTTCATATCGAACAAGATGGCACGGCACTAATTAGGTCGGAATGCCCATAAAATATGACATTGACAGGTACTGTCTGTACTACTAAGAAATTCAGGACTTCATAGATGTGATTTTACTGACAGCTGTCGCAGAGATCAAGCTATCTTTTATGAACTATAACTTCATCTACTTACTACTAACTCATAAACAGCTAACTTCACAGTCACTACTCACCGACGTCAGCGCCGCTATAAATTCTACAATTTTTAAGGACAGGCGGACTATGCTTTAGTACGTAGTGATCGTTCTCCTGTTCTCTAACCTTCATGTTCTTTATGTTGGGTAAGATCACTGACCACTGTGTATTTTTTTGACATATGTCGCAGAGATCAAGCTATCTTTTGGCGGCATTGGTGAGAAAATTTTCATGGTCCGTAATTTAGTAATTTTTGACAAAAAGGAACATTAAAAAATGGAGAAATATTTTATTGTGCGTGGATGTGCAAGTGATTTAGCATCTGATCAGAAAAATAGACTGAAAATTACTTTTATTCACCAAACTTAGTGATCGCAGCGCCACACTTACGGTGTCCATATTTCTGGTACACTATTCTACGGTGATCGTTCTCCTGTTCTATAACCTCCATGATAAAGACGAAGAATCTCAACTTTAAGTTTAATTTTAATATTTTTTAATTATATTTTAATTTAGATTTTAATTATTGATTAAAACTACTTTTACGGATTTTATCGAGTTTTATTCATTTTATTTTTAATACCCGACGTTTCGGGTGCTTTCCAGCACCCATGGTCACGAAGGACCATAGAGTAGAGTAATATATACAGAAATAGAGAGCCATCTTCAAGTTTTTTTTGTCACCCAATATGAATAGTGTCGCATTCCGGTATCATATCCCTTGAACTAATCTCAATATCATGTTGACTATAGATAGCTGTATGTAGTTATGTATATACAGCTATCTATATTATAGGCGGTTATATTTATATTTTAAGGGATTAGGGTTCAATTAAAGACGTATGCCATCAAAACATAACTTGTAAAAAAACCAAGTCTCGCAATATAATTTTTCTATCGTAAAAAGTTGTGAGATCCATGTATCACCAAGTCGGCTAATTTATTCAGTCCCTACTTAAGGGTCATTCTGTCTTAAGTTATTAGATAATTAGCTAACCTAATAACATCTTATAGTGACCATATCAGATTAAAAATCTTTTATGTTCTAAATAAATGGATTGACTTGGCCATCACATGAAAATATAATGTATCTCAAAAGTAATACATATTATATTAAATTAGATTGTTTAATGCGATGGCCAAGTCAATCTATTTATTTAATATATAAAATATTTTTAATATTGATATGGTCACTGTAAGATGTTATTAGGTTAGCTTATTATCTAATAACTTAAGACAGAATGACCCTTAAGTAGGGACTGAATAAATTAACTGACTTGTGTTAAATGGATCTCACAACTTTTTACGATAGAAAAACTATATTGCGAGACTTGGTTTTTTTACAAGTTATGTTTTGATGGCATTTCATTTCTTTTTGTAGATAGTTCTACTTTTTGCCTTTCCGGTACCTTCTACTGCTTGAATACCAACAACGGATTTTTTCAAAGCTCACTCTCTGACTTATGAGCTTTTCTTATTTTTGTAGGTAGTCTTCCTCTTTTTCTTTTCCGGCACTACTTCTTGAGCTTCAGCTACAGTTTTTCTCAAAGCCCACTCCCTGTCTCTATGGGTTTTCCTCGGAGGTTTTAATGCTACAATTTTTGACAAGTCTGGGCGGTAAATGCTTCTTAGTCTATTGTATTCACAAATTGAGGATTCCTGCGCTTTAATACTTCTAAAGTCGACATTAATTAAATGTAATCCGCCCAGACTTGTAGCTCTCGAAAGTGCCACGTGAGCTTGACCGGATGTGAATACTAAAAGAACCAATATCCATCAGCGCATTATTTAGACTCAGGTCCTGACTTTTGTGTATAGTTATAGCATAGGCTATACATATGGGAAACTGTTCGCGATGAACATAAGCTCTATTAATAATTTGAAATTTAGTTTTGACCGGACCAAGGTCGTAAACATGTTATTTATTATATTTAATGTATATTTTCTTAATTATTTTTGTATTTTCTGGGTCAACCTTTACTTTTTGCACTATACCGATAGAATTATTAACTAAACCAAGACTCACGTCAATATTTCGCCTTAACATGACTTTTGCTCCTATTTTTATAATTATATTCTCTTCCAGGCCCGCAGTCATAGAAGCATCGTCTTCATATTTTTTTATGCACTCACGAGCTCTTTTTGTTAGGTATTTGGGGCAATCTACTCTATCTACAGCTGTAAGTTTTATTTCAGGATGTGGGAGAGATCTAAGCATTGCAGTATTTAATTGTTGACACATGTTTTTTGTAGGTAATAAACAAACGGTATCATCAGGAAGTTTCGAGAGGTGTTCAATTATTTCAAATAATCTGTTTTCATTTGAATCGGATTTGAGAGTTATTAATCTAGTCGAGAGTAAATCGCGGTCTTTTTGGGTAGTCACACCTAATCTTATTCTATTTAGCATTTCAACAAAGTCGGAATCATTGAGCTGTCGCATGTTAATTGTTAGTTCATCGTATATGAACTTCGTGGTATAGCCATGCTGCAGTTATATTAGTAGTATAGTTGTAGCACGAATGGGTCGGCCCGACCGGGGAAGGACCACGCTCTCACAGAACCAGCGTGAGAGATCCCCGAAAACTACAAGATGTTTTTTTCCAAACCACCCATTCTGATCGTCGCTTGTGTCGAATATCTCAGACAAGCGTAAATGAATATATGTCAAAGTAACGTTGGATATCATCGACACCTCGTCTATGATAAACAATACTACTTCTTTCAAATCTGATCTCAGAACTTGGAGCACTTCATCAGAAAGTGGCTTGCACTTCGGTGTTTGCTTGTGTTCCACAGGCAGCTGCAAAAGCCTATGTATAGTCAATCCATTCACATTGAATGCAGCTATTCCTGTTGGAGCACTAACTGCCACTTTTTTATTTAAATATCCCAAACTTTCAGAGTTTTTATTAAAAAGCTCGTTCCAGTGCCATCAGTTCCACTCACAAAACAGCGTAAAACGTCAGCGTTACTATCGGTTGTGTCCATTTTATTTGTGATTATATCGAAGACTCTTTTTTGATCGGTATTGAGTTTTGTGATCATACTTTGAAGATCAGTCTGCTTTACTTCTACTAGATTGATTCTCTGAAAGTCATCCATTGCGTTTGCAGCTTCTACAGATTCAAAGTCTAAAGGGTTTTCAGGACCGTCGTCATTATCAACAATTTCCCTCTCTTCATTTATCTCAGCAACTTTAGATTCTATCATTTCAAATGCTTTTTGTATCCTGTATCAGGACTCTATCATTGAATTACCATAATCGATTCCTTCTTTTAAATCTTCTTTCGCAAAATTAAAGGCCTCCGTGTAAGTATCACACCCCATTTTGAGTTCATCTAAGGAACGCCATGGCTTGAATAAAAGAAGTAAAGAGAAGAAGTATTTCTCTGGTACTTGTTCTCCGTCGTAGAAATAGTGATTAATTAAATATGGGTTAGCTCTTCTTTTCAGGAACTTTTTACCATCATTTATCTCGTAGTACTTGACTTTAGAGGAGACTGGGCGTGTTTTAACAATATCGTAATTTTGAGCGAAACTATATAAGTGAGTATTCTCCAATTCTTTAGGCCGTTTAGGATAGTGGTCATCAATCCAAGACTCGTAATAAATATCGGTAGACTCCGGTTCTAGCATCATCATATCAGATTTAGATTTAACGCGCCGGTTGCGAAAGATGTTAACGTCGAGCCATCGAATTGTTGTGGTAGGATCTGTACCGTACAAAGGAATACCAAGTAGAGTGTCACTGGCTTCCAAAGAGCCGCACTCTCTATTAGACAATACTCTAAGGCCAATGTTAAACAGGCGGCTTCTTAAGGGTTTTGTAGAGTTTATGTCTTGAAACATATCAGCAACGTGAGTTTTCTCGCTTTTGGTGGTATATTTAGTGACGTAATAATTTAAAATAGCTGTTTTTTCGCCTACATATTGAATGTCTGTATTGCCATTCCATGCTAGCAAAATAGCGGGATTATAATCATTAATCATAACCCATTCTTTTTTTCGTACAATATAGTAAAGTCTATTGTTAGGGGACAATGTTTTCTTGCAGCTATTGATTCTATTATATCTCTAATAATAAGTATTTCTGTGACCGGGCGGGGGAATCTGAAACGACAAACTTTTACGAAACCTTGTCTTGTTTTCTTTTGGCGCATGCAATACTTATTATGTTTATGGGTCTGATATGACGTAACTCGTTGATAGAGTGTTAGTGAAACATTCTTGTCAGGTATAGCACATGTTACGTACTTTGAAATGAATGATGCAACCACACCAAGCGAGCACTCGTGAAGTATGGAGGCGTCTTTTACCCATAACATTAAATGAAAGTGTTGCGCTCCACGGGATTGATATTCTCGTCTCCAAAAGTAATGTATTACTTTTCCAAGGGGCTCATCGGACGACATAATGAAGTCCAACATAGCTTTAAACTTGTTATCAATAAATCGAGAAGTGGAGACAGGATCTAGTGCAACTAATTCACTTATGCTCTTGTTCGCCATTTCAGGACCGTTAACTTCCCTAAGATACTCACCTAAATCATCCCACATCCATTCCGAAGGACTCATGGTGAGAAACCAGGTTGCTGGCCCGTAGTATTGTGTCATACAGATGACATCATTTCTCGGTTTTTTCCAAAACTGTTCCGTATTTCTTAACCTACCAAATATCGCTGTTAAGTCACCTTCTAACTCATCTTTATTAAGCATCTCAAAATATTGTTCGGCTGTAATTTTTTGTTTTTGATTAACGCAATTCATTTTATAGAATATCCCTGAATTTATTTGACGTATATTAGCATCATTAAGTAGGAAAAATAAATACTGTTGATTTAGGCGGAATTGAGAGTGTTTTGACATTAGTCTTGCTTTAATATATTCACTAGATGCTAACTTTTGCTGCCGAACATAAAACTGCCCATATTTACCTTCTACGTAAAGATCAGGAAAGCACTTTACATCTAAATCTTTATCTTTAAAATCTATTGGAGCAGCATTGACTTTGAGCATTTGGTAGAGTTCTGAAATAGGAGCATTTCTCCTCCTTTCATGCAAGGGGTAAATAGTGTATTGTTCATAGTCAGCCTCTTTTTCTGATGTAACTTGTGTTAGTAGCCCATCGTTTTCTCCTACAAAGTTATCTACTTGAGATTCTAATTGGTCTACTATATGATGGATATTGTGCTCTTCGTTAATATAAGCAAACAATTGTTGAGGTGAATGTGGAAGTTGTATTTGAGAGTAAAGAGCATTTACACATTTTAAATATTGTAAGGCTTGGTAAACTTTATTGACATCTACAATATCCTCCCACACTATTTTTGATTTTGTTGGCATACCTCGTACCATAATATACATTTCAGTGTTAGTAATTGGGTGTTCTGGTCTAGGCAGCTTTTTCAAAGTTTCTTCAAGAGGCAAAGGAAGGTGAAAAGTTCTACCTTTTACTTTTTTCACCATATTCCTATTAGGTAAATGTTTGTTTGCAACAGGATTCATTAGCATTACTACCTGAAATGCTTTGGCGCATTGAATTAATATCTTTTCATAGTCTAAATGACTATGAAAAGATATAACTATGAATAGATTAAACTCAGCTATCTGTGGTGGAACAGTACCAACTTGTAGGTCATTTAGAACACAAGCTGCTGGCAGTTGATTTGCTCTAATTTTTTGTAAGCACAAGTGACAAATGTAGGGGCTGTGATCTAGATACTTGGTTTTGTAATAATTGAGAAGATTATTCCAAATACTGGTGTCTATAGATTTTCTTAATCTTTTTAGCGATGAAATATCTCTTGAATAACAAAGTTTTATACACGACATGCACTCAAGCTTTGGAGTATCAAGGCACTTAGACTAGAGATTTAAACGCAGCCTTATGTTTATTTATGACATTATCCTCTACAATTTCTTGTGACTCTTCACTTTCCAAAATAATACTGCCAGCTTTTTGTTGTTTCCCGTTTTCTTTTATTCTTTCTACGTCACATTTTTCTAATGATTCATCAATATTTTTTAAAATGCTAAAAATACTCTGTACTTGATATATTTCTCTTGAAATTGTCCTAAGACGAGGAAAATGCGCTTTGAGTAATTTAATATAATTTAAGCACTCTAACATTTTTTATTTTTCTATTAATGTATAATACTGTGCTGCACTTTTGTTCACCAAGCTTTCGAAAATGTTTGTTAATTGTATGATTATGTTCTCATCTAGAGCACACAGATCATTACAAGACCAAACTAAACGATGGCCATGCTTTTTCACATTCCCAAAGACCGCTTTTCCTGTATCGTCAATTTCGATAGCTTTGTCCTTGTTTTTAAATAAATTTTAAGCTTCTTCTGCGTAATATGGCTCCTGGTTACTTCTGTGCTCTGATTTTCCAAGAAAACATTCTAACCTGTAATTTAAAGAACTATCTGGAGGGCACGAACTTAGTTTTCCTAACGATACTTTAAATTTATCTTTTAATTTATCAACAGTTTTATTAAAGTTTCCTAATATTTGCTGCCGGTTATGAACTGCCCATTTAATTAGTTTCTCCGCTTCTAATCTGTTCTTAATTTTATTGGTTAGCGCTTGAGTAATTTTTTCTAAATTTTTTAGTCGAAATTGAAATTTTTCGTTTGATCTTTTCCTTTGGACAGATTTAAGATTTAGCTCAGGATGTAAGTCTTTATAACGTGCCACAGCATCACGGTTAACTTCAGGATGAGAAGTAGTATAACGATATACTGCTTCTCGGTGAATTTCGGGGTGAGACGCAGTGTAACGCGCTACAGCTGCTCTGTGAACTTCCGGACATGAAGAACTGTAACGAATTAATGTCTCCTTACGTTTTTCGGGTTTGTTCTGACGATAACGAGCCGCTGCTTCTTTGATTTGTTGAGAACGGGATAGTGCCGAAGTTTTAGGTCTTCCTTTATTAGCCTTTTTAGGTCTTCCACCCGTTTTAAGTAACTTTTATTATTTTTATTCGAACTATCATCATTTGGAGGCACTTCTGGAAGGAGCACTTCATAATGGCCACCTAAGAAATTTCCAGAAAATCGTAAACGTTTCACCGGATTACCAGAATCACCACCGAATGATCCTCTCAAAATGCCATTTTCGTAAACCTCGAAAGGATACGGATACAAAGCGGCGGCCGCCATAAGTTCAGACGTGGAACCATAGGTGGTTGTTTTTACCATTGCCGTCATGTACAAATCAGTATTAATGTAGGGGTTTCCACGCTCGTCACAAGTATATAGTTGTAACTCATCCCCATGCGCTACCACGTACTCGATTATAGCAAGTCTAATCTCATACGACGACTCAATATTCCCATACATAGAGAATGACAAAGAATGAAATAAACACGAACCGTCGCCAGGTATAGGGACAATCCAGTGTGGGCAAGCATTGTCATTTACATACAGTATTTCCGAATCCATTGCGACTACTAGTACTTGTACGCAAGAGTGTTTTTTGTGCAGGAATACGATTAATAGATAAACGTGACTCTACAGTACGTGAAACGTATTAATATATCTTAATATTATCCGAACAACGTCCAAATCCTTGGCAAATAATATATTATACAGGTAAACCAATGAGTAAACCTTCCAGTCGTCAAAGTAATAATAGAATATATCAATCAAATCAATACTAAAATAATAATAATAATCGATATTATAAACGAAAAGGTAATATTACAACGTCTTAATATACGTTAAAATTATCCAAACATCATCCAAATCGTAAGCAAATAATATAAGTAAATCAATAAGTAAGAAGCCCTTCAGTCGTCAAACTAATATAGCAATCGAAATTATGAACGAAAAACGCAAATTTATAGATAAGATTTCTAGGCACATCCGAACAGCAAGGGAGCGCTCGCGCATATGAGCGCGGTGGTTGCCACGCCACTCGCTCGTTATCTCTGAACGCGCCGCAATCCGCCGGAACACCTCGCGGTTATTTACAACCTTACATACATATTATGAATACGGTCGTACGTTGCAGCATGGCAACACTCATCATACGAGACGAGAGTTTTTTACAAGTTGCATTTGAACATAATTATACCTAGGTACCTATCTAAACCTATTATTCCATTATTATGTATTATATATATATATATATATATATATATATATATATATATATATATATATATATATATATATATATATATATATATATATATATATATATATGCAACACGTAACATAATTAACGCACTTTGAGAAAGTAGTTTGTTCAGAATCATTTACTGAATCGATTCCTATCATTTTTAATATAGGTATTTTTTATCCCAAAAATAATTAAAACTACGTAAATTACAGTCACACTAAATCTGTACAGTTAAAACAAACTGAAATGGACCGTAACTTAAGGCAATAAGACTTTTAAGAGTGCAGTTTTATTTGTATTATTACTAATTCTGTCATTCAATAAAAATAAAGAAAAATGAACTTTATTTCAAGCAAGTTAAAGTCGTTGCATTCGTGGATTTGAACTGTGACCACAACGTTCTTCCGGAATTAGTATAACTAATTTGATAAATAATCAGTGCATAAAAATGTTTAACTAAAAATTCAGTGTATGTATCCTATCCTACACCTTTAAATGAGCAATTCTTGTATATATATAATCGGAATCTCGGAAACGGCTCCAACGATTTTCATAAAATTTAGTGTCCAGTGAGTTTCGGGGGCAATAAATCGATCTAGCTAGAATTTATTTTTAGAAAATGTCCTTTTGTCCATGTTTTCAGGCAATAAAAAAACTGCTACAATATAAGAAGGTAAATTTTGACAGATCGCTAACGATCGTAATAGCTCAGGCGGGATGTCGGTTGGGCATGATATCAGAGTTCCGTGGTTCGCGTCCTGTCTCTGGCCCGGCTTTTTTCCTTTTTTTTCAAGTTCCCTTTTTTTGTGAGAAAATCTATTATTTCAAGCCCTTTTTTGTATTTATATATATATATATATATATATATATATATATATATATATATATTAACGTATTTATACAGGTACACCGAATCATTCACTGCAAATGTAACTTTGTAATTCTATACATTTGTATGGGATTACAAAGTTATTTATGCAGTTGTTGTATCTAGAAAACCAGACTGAAATTGCAAAATATTTTGGTTTTTCCTTGATTTATATACTAAACACTAATTGTATTCCAAATTTGAAGCTTCTACGTCTGCTAGAAGTGCCTTAGAGTTTTGATGATCGGTCAGTCAGTGAGTGACAAAATTACTCTACTTCTCTATTACTCTTAAACTACTTGTTCAAATTGAATGAAATTTGAAATATTCCGTGTTTATACAATGCCTGATAGATTACTAAATTCAGGCTTCTAGTTTTATCCACAACGAAGTTATAGGGGGGCGAAAATGGCCTGAATTGCTTCAAGAAAAGAATGGTACGGCCGTGCCGCTTTTTTGCTCGACTTGGCGGGGGCACTGCCGTGCCCCCAAATTATAGATTTCAGTAATATCAACATTTATTTTTGTTATATATATTTAGCATTCACGATTTAAAAGCGTCTATTCCGCAAAATACAACATCAAATTCACACAACACTACACAAACATACAATGTGGTTCCAGCATGAAAATCTAAACAGACAACAAGAAACAGAGGGCTAATCCCAACTCAACCAAACTTATTGTAGCAACAACCGAAAATCACTTATAAACTATAATAAAACAACAACTTGCTCAGACGCCGGTAGCCATTATGTCATACTCATATAAAGTTGCTACTTGCCAGTTCGAGAGTAACCAGAATTGATGTAGTCGCCATCTAGCCCACCTTTTAGAATTTAATGTTCGAAAGTTTATGCGGATATCGTACAAGATGGCACTAGTGTCTTTGCAAATTATTGAACCCCAACCTAAAGTATGGAAGTGTACCCCCCCCTGCGGAGGACTGAGATGACTAACGTCCCGATGTCAAAGTTAACCCCGAGTACTTTTAGCTTTTTAATTGTTGTCTTTGGTCCGATCTACGCAGAATGAACTTAGTTTAGTTTTAATTTTATTAATTATAGGATATAGGATACCAAGCAGGTGGTAGTACCCAGCCTCCTTCTCTATTGAAATTAGGATGTTTTTTAATTTCAATAGCCTCGCGTATCATCCTTGGTAGGAATCGATGTTTTTTCGCGAGGATTTGTGGTCTATCAAATCTGATGTAATGGTTGAGGCCATCTAGGATATGATCGCAAACTGCAGACTTCCCCGAACGTTGATGCTTCACGTCAGCTATGTGTTCTTTTACGCGGGTTCTAATTGATCCCTTTGTTTGCTCTATATATGAGAGACCACAATCACAATCAAGCTTGTACACTTCTGCATCTTGTAGAGGAATATGACACATGACGGATGGTAAGAACTGATTAATCTTCTTCGGCGGCTTGTAGAATGTTCTAATAAAAGCTCGCTTCAAGATGTAGCCAATCTTGTCTGTGACACCTCTGACATATGGTAGAACAGCAGGCACACGCTCGACTATGGCCGGCTTCACTCGGTCACCGTGACGGAGGTGCCGGACCCGAAGCTTGTTGTCATGCAGAACCTGCTTGACGTGCTGAAGCTCGGCGGCCAGGTGTTTGCTGTCACAGAAACCTCGTGCTCTCTGTAACAAAAATTTGCCCACGGTAGCTAACTGTGAAGAATGATGGTGAGATTCACCATTTAAGTATCGGTTTGTATATGTGACCATGGGTGCTGGAAAGCACCCGAAACGTCGGGTATTAAAAATAAAATAAATAAAACGCGATAAAACCCGTTAAAGGTGTTTTAATCAATGTATAGTGTTCGCGTTAATATAAGAAATCATTAGATTTTAATAATTTTTAAAAAAACATTGGTTTCTTTAATTAATGGCTGTTTCGTTGTTAATTTTATTATTTTATCGTTTAATCAAGAAAACATTCATGATTTTACATTATAACACGACGGCAAAAAAAAAAGTAATAGATTTTTAGTATTTTCTCGTTCTCTTTTGGTAGAATTCAGTAGCTTTTAACCTTTTAACCTGAAATCTGGTCTAGGGGTATCCACTTAAAAATTATGTCGACATTTATATTTGATGTAAAACATCGAATCCCACCATCGATGTTTATCGATATATCGCTAGAAAATATCGATATTTTTTCACTATCGAATACTTTCCACAAAAGTTTAATATAACCTTTTTCCAGTGAAACGCAAACGAAAAGTTTGTGGTCCTTGATATTTTATGTGTGAATAAAGAATAAGAGACCAGAAAAACATAGCAGCATATTTTGTTTATTCATATCCAAAAAGGTGGCCTTATTGATATTTTTTACGTAGTTAAGCAGGTTTGATGTAAGATTTAATAGTTTTTGGCAAAATTTGCATTTTACAAAGTTTTCATTTCCCTCAATTTTCGTAAAAACCTTCCATACATGACTTTTCTGTGGAGGCACCATCTTGTATTTAACTAAAGAAAGAACATATCAATTAATGTTTATATTTCTCTATAATTTAATTTTTGTCTGCAATGTCACATCACAATTGAGTTAATTGGTTTACAAGTTTAAAAACTAAATGAAAAATAGACTAAAGAAATGATTTGATGCATTACATGTAAGTACTGCTACATAAACTATCGAACAACTACTTACATCATTATAATGAATATTAGATTTATTTATTGTTTATTTATGTACCGGACGGGCGAAACTCTCCGGAGTAAATTTGTCGAAGATACTTCGCGAGTTGCTCACGTTCTACACCTATAGGTTCCGGTGGGTACTTTCACTGCCATCTTTGTGGGTGCCGCTGAGATATTGTGGACTGAGGTTCAAATCAAAATGCATGATTAATAAATACAAATAGCAAGGTAGTGGCCAGCGGTTCGACTGATTGATTAGTCGCGAAATTTTATAACTATTTTTATTAACCACGGTTGTTGAACTATGGTTGTTAACTATTGGTTGGTCACTGTATATGTCAAAAGGTTTCTTTAAATTGTACGGTAGTACCAAATATTTATTGGTAGTAGCTGGTTTTCTAACACTACTGACTAGCAGCTATTATCAACTAAACTAGTTGATTTTATCACTTGTGTAACTGCGGATATCAGTTATCACTTTCACTATATATAACTGCGAATATCAGTTACGACCTTTATCGCCTAGCTAACACTTTCACTATATGTAACTGCGAATATCGGTTACAACCTTTTTCGGCTAGCTAACACTTTCACTATATGTAACTGCGAATATCAGTTACGACCTTTATCGGCTAGCTAACACTTTCACTATATGTAACTGCGAATATCAGTTACGACCTTTTTCGGCTAGCTAACACTTTCACTATATATAACTGCGAATATCAGTTACGACCTTTTTAGGCTAGCTAACACTTTCACTATATGTAACTGCGAATATCAGTTACGACCTT